AAAGGTAGTTTTCTAATAGTATACAATTTGTCATCTTTAATGAAGTTCAAATTTGAATTTAGCATAATTTAGACTGGCAGATTAACAACTAATAGACTATAAAAGAGGCCCGCAAACACAGGGTCCTTAAGAAGAGTCCTGTTTGAAATAGCCTAAAGATGTTGAGTGCTACATTTCCACCCTGACATGAAAGGAACAACTGAAAAAACTGAAAGAGAGCTCTCCCCATTTTCCATTTTAGGAGATGTCCATTGCAGTGGTTGTTTTTACATCCCGTTTTCCCCTCCGGTCTGACAACTACATCCTCTACAGAACTAGAGAGGGCTTCTGCCACCAATGCAAAGAGTACCCTCGGCAAAGAAGCTGCCTCGATTCATCTGTAACCTGTATACTTGTAGGATGCTTCTAAAGTGTCTTCTAAATGCATCGATGTGAATCAAAACCCGAAATGTTGCATCCAGAGCCGGATTTGCTTTTTCAAACCCATCAATAACAATACGGCTAAAAGCAGATGAATGAAGGTCCAACTGCCCTACCTCTGACCACTACTTAGACTGATATGGATAGAAAAATTGTTTTTAAAAAGGCTTCGTTCAACTTAACGTCCATCTCCCTGATGGTGAAGCTTCTCACCAGACCTTTTTTTTTTTTAACAACGATGAAACATCACCAATACTGTGGGCAGACATAGAGGCTGAGGGATGGAATGGAGAACTGGAACTCTTCGCTCCATCACAGCCCAGCCCTGCCCGGTGGGCCTGGACTTCTACAGTTTCATCAGCCAAATTGATTTCATGAAAGTACGAGCGCCTTAAAACAAGAACCAGCTAATGCTTCCTATCATCGAGCAAGGCGGCGGCAAATCCCTCCGGTCTCCGCATTCAGGTGGGCTGCGCTACACCAAAATAAAATAAAAAACACAAAACCAAACAAAGATGCAGCAAGTGAAGAAACACACAAGTTGATCTGCAAGTTTTAAGGTCAAGGATTTTCCTCCACACGGAAGACATGAGCGAGCATTGAGGAAAATGTACCTGAAGTCTTTTAGTTTCACAGTTCTAACAGCTTAAAGGCTCTTTTGTGATAGTGATAGCTTATCATAATTTATAATAATTCCTTAACTGAGTTACATCAACATATACTTTCCTTCTGGGATAAATAAAGTATTTTTAAATTGAATTGAAATAGCACGTGCTCTCTTTCTTTACTTTAACTCCAAAGATCCCCTTAATTCAGCTCATCAATTAAACAGCTAAACTCAGAGGATAAAATCTATGTTTACTGAGAAAGAAAACAGATGATAAAGTATTTAGATAACAGCTAAACTTTTTTTTTTTTGCTTCTATTTTAAATAGACAACAACAGTCGACGAGAAACAATCGATGGTGGGGTTTTGTTCTTGTTTTTTTTAAAGGAACTAACTCAGAGTCTGTATCCCATGACAGGATATTCTCCCTTTTTTTTTCCCCCAATCACCACCATGACCTAAACACCAGTCAGCTGACTAAGCTGTTTACATTCTCCCCTGAGAAATGACAAGTATTTCACGTGTATCTGTTATAAAATAAATAAATAAAAACTCAACTAAATAAAGCAAGCAGCTGCATTAACAAATTTGGTCGAGATTCTGCTCGACCAAAACAGCTAAGTTAGCAAAAAGCTAACTGATCCTCGCCCGTTAAGACTATCCTGTCCTTTTAGCATCAATAAACCCCCCCACCCCCCCCACATAACCCCCCCCAACCCACTGACACTCATGCCTGTTTTGTTGCTCACACACTGACCCTGTTACTACTCCGAGCAGGAATATCTGCGGCTTCTCTGAAAACAGGCAGGGCACCCAAAACTTTTCTGGAAAGCCTGGTTTTGTTATCATGTTGTCCTGTGAGGTTAGCAAAACAGGCTAGCCAAAAGCAGCTAGCTAAGCGTCCAGGGCTCGCGAGCCCGGGCAGCGGACGAGCTCAGCGGGACACCGAACAGCCGGCCTTCCGGGGCCGAGTCGGAGCTCCTTACCATCGTACAAATCGAGGCGATCTTTCGGACTGTCATCAGTATTTCCATCCGTGTGCCGCCATGTTGGACCGAACCCCGATGGTGAAATAAGCAGAGCCAATACGGCTGCAGGGATCCGGAAGGGAGAGCCTGCTGCTTCTGTCTATCAGTCGGGTCAAAAGCAGCGGAATGACAGCATTAACTTCCGGTCTTGGATTTCAGATTAAAGTAAGTCTTGTGTTGTTTTCCCCACACAGATTGTAGTTTATTTTCATTTTGTGGCTTTATATCAAGTCAAATCTGCATGAGGTTACAAACCAAAAACAAAAAATATCTGATCTTGTTTTAAATCAATTAACCTAAACAAAGCATAGCAAGAAACCAAATATATGCTTAAATAATCGCTGAAATTGCTTTAAAATGTTTCCAGTTAATGGTAGTTATATATTTTTGTTTTATTTCTGTCCTGCTTTTTTAAATGCTGCTTTTTGGGGTTTGTATTTGCAGCTTTGGTTTTGTTTTTTTCAATATTTTGTTTTACTTTTTGGAAAACATTATTTGTTATCGTAGTTTCTGACACGTGCTTTTCCTTTAACACGGTTTCTTCTGCTGTGTAACACATCAGAACATGGCCCTTAAACTTTTCTCCGTGGATTGAAGTTTTCACACAAAAGGAACAACATCCATAGTTTATCTTATTTCAAGCATTCAGAGGAAAAAACATAAACACTTAACTTCAGGGGAACTTTCTATTGAAAGTAAATGGTGTAGGTATTGTGCAGATATTTCCCAATTCTAAGTTGAAACAAATATTTTTCATGATTTGGTTCATAGATATTGTCAATTAGACCTTAAAGGTTTGCCGAAAGAGTGACTAAGAACACTCAACTAGAATAGCCGGGCGTTTTGTTTCGAAGCTCCAAGCGTCCTGTTTCCGGTGTGGTTGGTGATGTCTCTTTCTAACTTGATGATTTCCTCCCGTCCAGCTTTGAGTATGAGTGCGTCGACGCACCACTCAGCTACACTTGTGAGTTATTTCGATTCCCAGCGAGGGGAGTTGGTGAGTGTGTTTAGGTGGAGGAATGTGAGGATACTCACTCAGATACTGGCAACTTTAAGTAGGGTGAGTGTTACCCTTTATAAAGAATTCATCTTTGTACCGAACATCCATTTAAATAACAACCTTTGTCCTTAAAAATAATTGACAAAGCTTTTGAACATTTTTAAAACTTGTTTTTGTTGTTTAACGTACACATAAAAGATTAAATACTTTTGATTGTCTGACAGTATTGCCTATAGGAATGAGAATGCAACTTTATTGGGACAGTTTACATGGACCTGAGTTGATTTATTAACTTTGAGGAATTTGAAAAAGTATTAACTTTTTAAAATGTCTTTATTTTTTTTATTGCTTACTCTATTTTTTATAACAGGGCATCTGTGACTGTGATCTAAGAGTCTAAAGTGCGTTTCATTACTTCACAATATCATCATTCATAAACACCCTATGCTAAATTTGAATGTCAGGGCGCATCCTGCATTGGCAACTGGACCCTGGAGCTATTTCTTATTAAAGAATTGAACAAACAGCATTAAAAATGGGCTGAAAACACTGTAAAGTGTTCTTGTGAGAACCAAAGAAGAAGATGAAACCTACATAAAACATTTCCCATTTCTCACTGAGACAAGGATCACAGGGCCGATGGTAGGATTTTATTACAAAACTGTTTGTAATCCTGGTCTGAAATATTTCCATGTGCCAAATGTATTGATAAAAGTTGTCACATATGAAAAAAGTAGGTTTAAGATGTGTCAGGGCAGACGGCTTCATCCCACCGTCCAACTGAACACTCTGAACGCCCCCCAGGAGAGAATGTGAGTGAGGTTGTTGTGTGTCTCTGTGTGGCACTGTGATGCACTGGGGACCATTCTAGGGGGTACCATGTCTTTCGTCCAGTGTTAGCTGGGATAGGCTTAAACAGAGCCTTTGATTGCATGGTGTCATGGTCGTCAAGGTTACTTCAAGTAGATTCACCTCTTGTTGTTTGACAGGATTTGGAAGAAGGTGGCCAGCCGGGACGGGCGAGTGGTCCTTCGGCAGTGTTCGCCTGGAGCTGACCGGTATGAAATGGAGACCGGTACCAAATGCAGGTGAGAGAGCCACTTCTCAAACAGCCGAGAAGCAAAGGAAACCAGCAAAGGCTGCCGGAGCCCAGACAGCGATCGGCCACTCACAGCCTCAGTCTCAGAAGGAGAAAATCACCCAAAACCACACATAATCAATCCAGAACCACGTAGGTGCTGAAGAAGCCTCTGACTGAAGGCCTTCAAACAGCTGTTTGATCAATATGTCAGGTATTTAACACATAGTGTTATCAATATGTTAATCGAAACATGTATTTGTTCCATTATTTATTCTATATTTGCCAAAAGCACAAACCTTGCGCACTTTTAAAAATGGATGGATGGATTTTGTTACAATACCTAGATTAATTTCCTTGCTATTAATGTGCAGTTGGTTTTCTGATTAATTATTTGGTTTTACAGTGGCTTCATAACTTTACAAAGGCAATTTACATTAATACCAAACATCCAGACTGAGAGTAAAATCACTCCTGTGTGGCTATTTTGAGCTGGACTCAGTTTTGGACTCAGAATGACAACAGAGTAGCTGTTGTTATGATCTCATCTTTAGCATAAAGAAAGGTTATGGTGCAGTTTCTAGAAGCTTTATTCTTTAAAATAGGTAATGTGATTAAGTAATGTTTTATTTAAGCCTATTCATAATAAGGCCAAAATGCAATATAACTAAAAAATGTCCAAAGTCAAACTAAACAAATTAGTCTTAACCCTATAATGCCATATGTATCATATTTGATACATATTACATTTTTGATACATTTGACATATTGTATCATTTAATGGTAAAAACTTTGCTCAAAACCTTGGTGTACACAATTAGAAATACCTATTCATATATTTTTTTATAAGGCCAAATAAAGACTTCATACAAACAAAAAACAAAAAAAATCTCTTTTTTTTCTTGGTTCAGGCTTTCAAGGTTTAATATATAAAAATATATATTCATGCATACATTCTTATTCTGTGTGTTGTAAAATAAAAAGAACAACAAAAAAACAAAAATAACAGCAGCGTTTTCTCTTACAGTTTTCTCTACACATTTCATCCTGTTGGTCTTGGTCAATACTCAGCTGTTTTTTCTTATTATTGTTTTTAATTGTATTATTATAGCCATGCTTATAGCCCGTATTTCTGGATGTGTGCGTCCCGGCTGGAGAGCGCAGTCTCCCTCACTCTGCTCTCACGGGACTGTCAGAGGGGACGGATCAAAGTCTATATCCCTCCCTCTCATCTTTTCTCTCTGCCTTCTGGAACCGCTGCTGACCGGATTTATCCTTCTGTCCTTTTTCTGTCTCTTTTTTGAAACACAGGAGTTAAAACTCTAATCCTGTGCGTCGGACGACGCATCCAACGAGCGTCTGAGACTCGTTTGACGCTCATGCTGCGGGAAACTTTTAGCACCAGCGAAGGTATTTGGGGGAAAAAACAGATTGGGGAGTTCGGGAGAGACCACCTTTTCCCGGACGGCTCTCGCTCCGTGGAGCAGGGACGGAGAGCGCGCGTCGGCGCTCTGCGTAAAAGCCCCCCCGGCGGCGTTGGCGCACGGGAACCGGGATCCCGGCACCGTTTCCCCGTCTCCCCTGTCTCCCCGTCTCCCCTCCAGCCGAGCCGAGCCGAGCCGAGCCGAGCGAAGGGCAAAGGGGGAGCTAGATGCGGCTGACTGGCGACCCTGCACCGGGAACCATGAACAGCGGCGGGTCGGGCAACTTTCTGCTGGTCCCCATACCCGAGTACCCCCTGTTGGACTGCGTGCCCAACAAGACGGTGAAGATCGTGGTGCTGGGGGCGAGCAACGTCGGGAAAACCGGTATGTGAAGGAGCAATCTTGCTCCTAAATGCAGTTTAAAATAAAGAAAATTAAACTGAGGCCATTAAAACGGGAAAACGTTGGTTGGTTATTGTTTGCGTCTAAACTGAGGAATAGATCCGTGACAGTTAAGTAAAGCCCCCCTTATTGAGGAAAAATGTGAGGAAAAACTGCCCAATAATTTGAAATAAAAGTGTCCTTGAAATAAAATGGGGATATCGGAAATAAATGACCAAATCTGACCGATAGGGGGAGACAATTCGCCTTTTTTTAAAACATAACAGCCTATTGATTAAGGATGTTGCCAACTATGTTTTAATGCTTATTTAAGGTGGAAGAAGAAACTTAAACTGAAATACCATGTAAAGATTATTACTAGAACAGAAATGTTAAATAGAGAGTGTTGTCAAAATGGCAATAGTTGTAGATCTTTTGTCCAAAAAGTCTTCTTTCATTTTGATCATGATGTCAGGCTGTAAAGTGAAGATTATTATCAATGGCACATTGACATTTTTCTCAAAAATGATTGCAAAGACGTAAATAAAGCAAAAGTAGGACACATTAGCAGTCTGTAAGTAAGAGAGCAGCATTTTTCATTGCTTAATTTAACAATGCTGGCAATAAACAGATTTCTTTGACATGCTCTCTGTGAAAAATAGCTGACAAGGCAAAAGCTGAAATTAAGTTAGTTTTTGTTCTGTTTTTTTTTTGCTTTGCTTTTTTAATCCCGAATGTCCTTTAGGATCAAAGACAGTTCAGCGCAAACCCACAGCTCCAACGTTCTGCTTGGTTCCTGTAACATGTCAAACCAGTGTGGTCACATTGGGGGTTTTCGGTAGAACCAGAGAGCTAAATTGTGGCTTTCACGGACATGGGGATAACATTAAACGCACCATCAAGTAGAACAAACAAGTGAACCACACCACGGGTGGCTAATTTGTCCGCCAAGGAGTAAGTGAGGGACTTACAGTTTGCAGTAAACTTTGGCACGCTATCAAATACATTGGTTTAAAATCCAAAAGCTAGAAAACTAATTTTTTGTGATCATTTTTTTTATTTGACCATCCTTAAATCCGTTTTGTAAGAACAAGTGGAGAAGATAAAGTGTCAAACAGTAAACTGTTGAACAGGCTGTAGAGAAATTATGTTTTTTTCCCCCATTTAAAACTGGTCAGAGATTGAGCATCTCTATCATCATCTGGGATGTTATTCCTGGTCCATGTTGCTTAGCTACAGAGTCCTGCGTGGCATGGTTTGGCTCCAAGCTTCAGGGCAGTCAAAAGGTCAAGCCCAGATGTCCTCAAAGCCTTTGATATGTCACAAATTTGTAAAAGGTGTATGGCGGTCGAGGGATGTAAAGACCTACACGTAAGCTGAGGGACCATGGAGGCAGTTTTCTGACTGACATTTATTGAGCATGACAATTGTAGAACTGTAGGAATGTGGTCGTATCTCCTGGTTTTCATCAGGACTCTTGCAGAAGCGTCCATAATACACAGAACTGACCAAACAGCTTGTACTGAAAAGCCAGTAAAAGAGGCACCGCTGTAATGTGTGCAGCAAAAAAGGCCCAAGTGAGCATTAAACCTCTGACTCTAAACAACAGTGACATCCTGCCATTGGTTTAAAACGTTGAACTATCCTAAAAATGTTCTCACGGGAGAAGAAAAAACATGACAGGGCAAAGTAGTGGGACGGGGTCAGTGCCTTTAGATTTGTCACTTTGGCAGATGTGTGTCTTAGATATTTTTAAAACCTTTTTTTTTTTTTTTTTACATCATTTTTTTCCCCGAAGGGAACAGGCACATCCGAAAAATACTTAAAAAAAACAATTTTTCACAATTTCATCAATATAGAGATTTAAAAAAATATATATAAAAGAAAAATTTAGACAAACAACCTGAAATTCACATCACTGCATTGGGCATTTATTTGATCAAAACTATCTCAAGAGTGGACAAAAGTTTAGTAAAATGGTCTGGAATTAATTTATTAACAACCGTGCACACATATTTAAAGTGATTTATTAATTACAAATGAGTATTTATATCTTGTTTCAACAGTTTAAACTTTGATAACTGATTTATTTCTGAACTTCACATAAGGTCTTGAGGAGCAAAATTCTTTGTCTGATACAAGAGAAATTCCACCAGAACTCGACAAAAATATTGTGTTTACATCCACCAGTGAGTTGCCGCAGGTTCCCTTTTTTTTCAGAGGGATCATTTTAACACTGCCATGTCGTCCTGTAGATCTGAACCCATGGACTCCATGCCCTCTTTTGCATCTCTGACCGAGATTATCTGTTTCTTTTCGTAGCTTTGATCGTCCGGTTTCTGACCAAGAGGTTCATCGGGGATTACGAAGCAAACACGGGTGAGTTTAAGTCCACGTGTCCGCACTTTGAATCGACCAAACAAAAGTCAACTGTTGATCCGGCGTTCTCTCTCCATCCACTCATCCGTCCATCCGCCTGAACCCCCTCTGCCTCTACAGGGGCGCTTTACTCCAGAAAGGTCACGCTGGACGGGGAGGAAGTCTCGCTTCAGATCCAGGACACACCCTGTGTGGCTCTCCAGGTACCTCGCGGAAACAATGAACTGCAACAGCTGGTTTTATAGATAGAAAAGCTGGTCGGAAACAGCGTAGCCTGATTAAAGAATGCCATTGGGGAAGAGGTTGGCCAAATGATTGTCTTAAGAACGGCCCGGAATTAGCCACAGATGGCTTTGGCGTCTTTTCCCTCCAGCATTGCAAACAGAATTTTTGATAGAGTTCAAATCCTTTGCTTCAGATTTATGTGCTTTCTAAATATGTGCAAATGCAGTATCTATTTTGAAAGTTGAGTTTTTGACTGAGTAGAGAGCTACAACCTCACGTACAAAAGAAAGTAACTAGCATGTTGCTTCATCAGTAGCTGGGATACTCCTCTTATTTAATTCTTCCTTTACTGGAGTACTATAATCTCTAGTTTATTCTGGCTGTCAGATTTAATTGATTTTTTCTTCTGGGATTTGACTCACTTTTTGCCAGCATTGAATTTAAATACTAGCTAATGTAGGATGGCTAAATTACAAAAAAAAAGATCAGATTTTCTGTTGATTTGAACCAGTGTTACTCACTATGAGGACTGGCTTGGAATTCTTTTAAGGGTTAGATCAAATAATCCCGATTTCCTGTCCACGTTTTCAGCGAGGGATGTTCTTGAAGCCCGAAGAGCAGATAAGAAAAATGAGTTCAATTAGTACAGCGCAAGCAGGCCGTTCACAAAGCGTTCCTTTCTCACCGCGGGGCAGATAAGGGAGGAGGGGGGGGGCGGAGGTCCCTCCCGGCAGTACGCACCGCCTCACAGACATTAAACAGAAAGTGGTGTGTGCGCAGACAAAGAAGATGCGTGCGCGCGGAGCTAAGAGCTGGAGGATAGCGATAGATCTCCATTTTGACCTTGCTCTTGTTAACCCGATTCTTTAGTTGGAAACTTGAAAATAAACCAGAGTAGATCAAGAGTAAAAAATGAACATTTATTATCTCCTGGGCTAGGTCCGCCTCTTCAAAGGAGGACTGGACACAACCAAGTCCTATTGGCTAGTTATTTCTGATCATGAACAGGCCAGGTCCTAATTCATGTAGATGACTTTGGAATGTGGTAACAAATAGTGAGTGTATGTGTTGACCTAAAGGTGTGGAACAAAGAAAGAGAAAGATAGAGTCAGAGACTTCAACACAAAATACAGTTAAAAAAAGAAAAGAACAATCATTAATATACATAGATCATGTGATGGCATACTATGCTAAAATGAGTAATTTTAGCCAAACTCTAACACTCTTTTAAAGCCTTCGTTCGCAAAAGGCAGCGCCATGAAATCGATTTTGTTTCGCTCAAGCACGCCAACATGGTCTGCGTACCCTCCCTGACTTATATATGTCATATATATTATATCATATTTGATGGAAATAAAGTATTTGCAATCTAAAAAAGACTCTCATTTTGTTAAAGAGTTAAAAAAGATTATATATTTCTTTACTAAGTCGCCCACTAGCCTCTCATTTTGACAATGGCCAAACGGGTAGCCTAGACTATAACATCTGGTCCACGATAAGCCAATTGTCCTGGTAAAAAGGCCTCAACAAAACCGCTTCCCCCCGCTTTTACCCTTCTCCACGCTGCCTTAAGACTGCGTAGCTAACCCCATCTCTCTGTTTTTACAGGACGATGCGGACGGCCTGTACTGCCAAGAGCAGATCAACAGGTCAGGTTCACGTCCGATGAATGAATGTTCGTGTTGAGTTCAAGTCAAGCCAGCTGATTTTTCTTGAACGATCGCATCTCCAGGTCGATCTATTGGGCGGACGGCTACGTGCTGGTCTTCTCCATCACGGACAACAGCAGCTACCGGACCATCCAGCCTCTGTACCAGCACGTCCGGCGCATCCACCCTTCGGGAAACATTCCCGTGATTCTGGTCAGTCAGTGAGGCCAGTCGTAAATCAAAGCCTTGACTTTGGGATTTCCTGCGACTTCTCCCACTTTTCTTGTGTCGCATAAAGTCTAAAGGCGTTTTTTTTCCTTCGATACGGAGCAGACCAGGCACCCGCTAACCCTAATCCTTTAATCTAATCAGTGTTTTAATCCGTAATCTGCTGCAGGTTGGCAACAAGAGCGACCTGCTTCGAGCCCGACAAGTGCCTGCCGACGAGGGCGAGACGCTGGCAGCTTCTCTAGGTGGGGCTTGTTCCGGCTCTTTGTGTCTCCTTCTGGCCACGTTTAAAGCCCACTACCATCCAAGATAGATAAGTCCGAAAGGAGAGTCTTTTCAATCCTGTGGTAATAGACAGAAATCTGTTACCTGGCGGTGTTAATAGCTGGATAGAGGAGAAAAGCCCTTTGATAACTCTGGATGTAACCGTCAATCATGGGGTCAATCATTCTGATAAACCTCGACAGTCAAAAGCTTATACAATGGTCAGTTACAGCTTGCCGTCTTTTACAACGACCATAGCGTCATCTGGAGGGAGTTTCCCGGCCAGGCAGCAGCTGCCAGTGTTCAAAACAAGGTAACGCCTGAACATTTAGCTGGTTTGCTCTTTGGCGCCCTCAAAAGTAAAAATAAAACTACAAAAAAAATCCACGTGGGCCCCCGAAAATGTCTTTTTCAGCTAGAAATCAGACGCCGTTTCAACGAGAGCTTCAAATTAGGTTCTGAGTACAAGATCACCAGCCTTGTGGAGGTGTATACGCCGCGCCGCGTGGATTTTTTTTAGCCGTAGCGGGTAGAAGTACCCACACAGAATAGTTGAATTCTTGGTTTGGGAGTTCTTGATGCTTATACTCGTTCCATTATTTATGCCACTATACTGACAAGTATATTTAGCTGTAGCGTTTCAGCTGTACTGTGAACCCCAAACATTTTTTCCCACACGCAGAAAGCGCATAAAGTTCATTTTCCAGTGTGTTCCTCTCTCTAAAGACACACAAAAACGTATAGTACAGTTTCCTCTCAATTTGATCTATGTGCTTTCTCAGAGCTTTCTTCTCCATGTAACAAATAAATGGATATTTTCTACTCCACTTTTCTAGTACACGATCAGACTGACTTTGCTTCTATGTCCTATGACGCCTGGTGTTAGAGGGAAGATGATCGTTTCCATTATCTGTCTCTCTGTTCTCAGGAGGGGTTTACTTCGAGGCCTCGGCCAGAGAGAACCATGAGGGAGTTCACGCCGCCTTCATGCATCTCTGCCAGGAGGTAGGATTTATGAAGACCTAAGAGCCTGTGTTTGTAGAAGAGTTGTCCATTAGAAAGCTGGCGGGGTCTCTTCTGTGGGAACTCTGATGACCGAGCGTTTTCCCACCAATGCTCAGACATGACGGTAAAACCGCATATTTGTGTCTTCGGCCGGGAATGGAAACCAAAATGGACTTGCTGTGTATTTTGCTTTTTGTAGTGGAACCACTGCCTCTTGTGTTGTGAGAGTGTTTTCTTTTCGTGGTGTTGGCGAGCCAAAAATGGCCGACATTTGCTCTTTGCCCAAGAAGCAGCGCAGGCCCAGCGCCTTTCTGCAGACTCTTTCGGTTACGGTCGCTCACACAGCCTTCACAAACTTCACAGCTCTATGCTAAGACCTGATTTTCGCCCACGCTAAAATGATCAGCTAGTGGGATTTTTATCACATTACAAATGACAGCTTAGCTAGACCCTTTAACACCATTATGCAACTTTTTTTTTAACATATATTTCTGGTATAAAATGGATCACTTTATTGTTAAAACTACAGAAACTCTTTTTTTAAGTTTACAATAAAAAAAAAAATCATATTTGCTTAAAATAAATTATTTGCAATTTAAAAAACATTCTCGTTTTGTTAAAGAGTTAAAATTTTTTTACATTTTTTTACTTAGTCACCCACTAGCCTCTCATTTTGCCAGTGGCCAAACAGATTAAGGTCCAGTGGTCACCAACAACATCTGCTTGGTTTAGAGTGTGTTGCTTTGCACCCTCTTCCCCACAACAAGAGGGATCGTGGTTCAAATTTCAAGGTTTTTTTTCACTATGCACGCATTCTCCCTGGCTACTCTGGCTTCCCACCATGCAAAAGAAAACATGCGTTTCGGGTCAAGTAATTACTCTAAATTGCCCCTCGGAGTGAGAGTGAGTGTTTGTTTGTCTATGTGTGGCCCTGTGATGGACGGGCGACCGGTCCAGGGTGCACACCCGCTACCCTGCCAACCCAGTGACCGCTGGGATAGGCTCCATCCCCGGCCACCCTACTAGGAATAAGTGGTTTAGCAAATGGGTGGATGGATGCAAAATGTGAAACACTGCCATCTATAAGGGCCCGTAGTTGGCATTTTGATGCTCATCACAAGCCAACTGACTGATGAAGTATCACTTAAAACATCTATGAAAAGTCAAATTGATACATTTAATGTTTTGAAAGGGTCGTTGTATCTGTGCTGATTAGTTTAAACAAAACTAGCTAGCACACTTGTGTGTTTTGGTACTTTAACAGAGATCCAATGTTTTACTTCCTTCAATAGGAAGGAGAATTGTCATAATCATTAATTAACTAATAAGAACAATTATATTTCTGCTATGAAATGTTTTATCAGTAAAAAAGAAAAAAAAAATGTACACAGATAGGCGGAACTTGTCTATAAACCACAAGTGTCTACATTGTAACAATAAATATTCACACAGAAAGATTTTTTTTAAATATACTAAATAAATATATACCGTATCTTAATTTTTTCCAACCTGTTCAGTTGTCTGACACGAAGAGCTCATTGGTCCATAAAAACCCATGAATTAGCTGCATCACTGTTAAAGCCGCAGGCTTCAAAGTGTGTAAAAAAAAAAAGTAGCAGCTTGTAGTCTGGAAATTACAGTAATATAAAATATAATATAAATAAATGAATAAAATATATTATAACGGTAATATAAAAAGATTTTATATTACTATAAAATAATTCCCCAGCTAATTCCTCTATTTATAGTCTGTATGAATAAATATGCAAGATAAGATATGATGTAAAATGTAAACTTTTGGAGAAAAACTAAGGGTTTTTAGAATAAAAAAATCTAAAAAGAAAATGTCTTTTTCTCCTCCAGGTGATCCGAGCGTTTGGTGGAGGGAATGGGGAGAAACGGAGAGGAGGGCTCCACCTGGCCAGACCCAAATCTCCCAACATGCAGGAGCTGAAGCGGAGGTTCAGGCAGGTCCTCTCCTCCAAAGTCAAGTCGGCCACGACCATCTGACCACAGGTGGGGACGGCAGCACGCATTCGAGTCTTCAGAGGAAAATTACAAGGCGGAAGGCGAATCACAAGAGGAGGTATTGAAGAGCTGTGACCTCTGAGTTTAGGGGGTCCGAAGCCACCGATGACACGGAAAAAGAAAAAAAGAAAAAAGAGCGCGGTGGAGTCGGCATGAAGTGATCAAAGCATTTCAAAGAGCGGTGAGGAGTTCTCATCAGATGGACGGATAACGGCAGGGAATGAATGGAGCTCTCTGGCAGTGGGGCTCCTCTGGAAAGGGACTGGCGGTCAGCGGGGCCCACTCACAGGAGGTAAAAGGAACGCTGCCCGGAGCAGACCGGTCAAAAACTGGACCTCGCTTCCTATAAGGAGGCTCTGAAAGTTGACCAAACTCTTGGATGCAACGGCGCAGATCACAGAACAGGTTTTTAGATTTTTCCATTTTGGAAGACGCCATTCAAAAGAAGCTAAAAACTACAACACAATAAAGACTGACGATTGTGTCCAGTCATACGTGTTATGTTCACGTCATCTCCCACCCGGTGCTGGTCAGTTAGTTTAGAGGTTAGTTCAGGTTGAAGAGCCTGAGAAATGGACCTCTGGCACTTAAAAGTGCTTTTTTACAGTTTAAGTCTGTCTAAAAAGCTATGATGAAGTTGTGCTTGTTTGAAAAACCCTTTCTGTTGCAAACGCTGAGCTCCAGAACAACCCATTCAGAACAAAACAGACGCACAATTATTTAACTATGCAACTGGGGGACCAGCATGCAGCCCACTATCAAACCGCCCACTGGCGGGCAACGGCCCCTCAAGCCCCAGTAGGTATTTTATCAAAGGAATTTATCAAATGGAAGAAAATCAATTGGAAGAAAATCCAGAATTTGCTTTTAATTGCGAACGAAAATACGTTTCCCAGCCTAAACTGCTCAGGGGGTACGAGGATATTTTTTTACCGGAAGCCGCTTATTTCTAATTCTGATCTTCTCGATATGAGTTATCCCCGTTCACAGTGCCTTGTTTGGAGCAGTGTACACCTACAAGACCCTGTTGCCTTGTTTCCACATATTTAACCTGTGTATTAATATCCAGCGCGAGAACGAAATGACAATAACGCAAATTTGGCGCTGTTTGGTTTGTGTCAGAAGCGTTGATGAAGTTTTGACATTCATTGTAGATTACATAAAAACTGACCAGGAAGTCCCCCACACATCATGTAAACGTAGCACTTACATCACCGTGATAGATTCAAACTTGAAATCCCTCTCACGTGTCAGTGCTTAGAAAAACCCTCCAGTTTACTGTTTATTGGTGTTTGAAAACGGAAGACTCAAACAGCACCGCGGTCTGCTAGAGTCACCCACAAATGCTTAATAAATGATTCAAGAATGATTTAAAAACGTCACGTTTTCTTCATTCAATCAGCAAAAGTAGCATTTTTTTGTCTCCTGCTGTTGTATTGTAGATCGAGAAAACCTGACTTTAAAAAAATAAATCTCGGTTTCTATTGAAGCAAGTCCTGCCAAAATACACAACACTTTATAAAAAAAAGGGGTGTCACTAAAGATTAAGCCCCCAAAAGGACATTTTTAAGCTTAAGCGATGCCTAAATTAAGCTCAAGTTTTGACATTTCTTTTATTTTCAGTTTTAGTTTCACACTTTTTTACTTTAAAATATTACTTTAACTACAGTATCTGTGAAAAAGACCATTCCCCTTTTTTTTGCATCTAAAGAAAAGAAAAGAAAGATAGATAATGCAGAGAAATATTTTTTCCATCCTTTTTTCCAAGCGTAGATGATAAAGGGTTATTGTCTGGGGTTCGAAATTGGAAATCAACACTTGAGACTACAGCCAGCCCTCTTGAGGGAAAAAAAAAGGAACAGGTCCGGTATCATGAAACAATGTCGTTCATGACGCGCGTGTCTTTCTTTTTTTCAAATGCTTTTTTTCTGCCATTTTCTCATGACCTCTCCTCCCAGCGAAACAAACAAGAGTTCCCAATAAAGACAGAAAATTCCTCGGGAATCTGGAATTTCTTTGTTGGCCGTTGAACCGCCGCTCTCACCCTTCGGCCGCTGCACACACACTTAAAAAATTGTCTGCTGACCCCGACCGCTGACCTTTTTAACCTTTGACCTTTTTAAAAGCGGCGGCACTCCTTCGCCGTCTGGGGAAACGCTTAGATTGGGTTTCAACGGTCGTCTTGCACTAATCACACGCGAAAGATTTTGTGTTTTGCCCTGAAAATATCAATGCTGGCAGTAGCTGTTTGGGTACATAAAAGAGTTTTTACGGCCACACTGCGAGGGACAAAAAGAAACCACAACTTCCTGTAACATCAATCGGGAAAAAGAACTACCGGGCTTCAGGAAATGAATATAAGTCTCCAAAATGCCCTCTGAAATGGGGTAATTATTTTGTGTGCGGGAGACAGATGTGAAAGGAGACTCTGCCACTTCCAAGTCCTAATTTCCTCTTGTGTTTTTATTCAAGCACCCAGATTACTCTCCCTAAAGACACACACACACACACACACACACACACACACACACACATATCCTCCATCATAAAGAGCGCCTTCCTGTGAGCCACTGGAGCTCTGCTTTCTCAGATCACTGAAGGAGGAATTTTTCTTTTCCCCCTCAAAGCCACTTATCTGCTGTAGCGCGGGGCTCGGATGTGAGTTTATGCGATAAATGTACAACTGATGGGACATTTATGAGGTTAGATTTAGAGGTGGTCCGTCGCTAACTGTTGCCTTTTTTGGATAAGGGGTATCTTATGTTATATATTATAAGTTTCAAATGCAGGGCAGACTAAAACATAAGACAATGATGACATTTTCAGCCCTGTATTCCATTTCAAGGCAAAACATCTTTGATTTCGTTATATGTAAGTAATTTTTCAATGGAACATTTAAAAAAAAAACTGTCAGGCAGGATCGTTGCTTGGTTAAACGAAATTGGGACCAAATACTTCATACGGTACTCAAAGATAACTGTGAACTTCCTCACAGTACCCTTGTGACAAAATAGAGAAGAAAACCACTGAACCACACTTTCAATGTCTTTATCAGTAGACATTAGAAGACATTTTACCAGTAAAATAGGCAGTCAACTTCAAGCATTTTTATATCCACATGGGCAAAGTACAAAATTAAGTCAGAAACTAGAAGAAGAAGTCCTTTTGACCTTTTTCAGTGAGGAATTATCTGTAAGGTTGATAAACAACGTTGCATTAGCTGGTTTCAAAAGTAGCATATTCATCTATCCATTATCCTAAAGGGGTTGTGGGGGAACTGGAGTCATTCCTAGTACTCAGTGGTCGAGAGGCGGGGTACACCCTGGACGGTCCGCCAATCCATCACAGGGCCACACAGAGACACACAAGGACCAACAACCACTCACACTCACTCCTAAGGGCAATCTGGAATGTCCAATCAACCTAAAATGCAGCTAATCCAACCATTAGTCTGTAATATTAGATTAGAAAACTAACTGAACAGTTGTGGACACTGAAGTCTATGTTTATTAGCCTTCCTTTTACTACATGCAAGGTTGATAATACTTGGAGATGCAACTGGAGCCACATGCAAAGTATTAGAGCTTAAAATGTTAAAACTACTGCTTAAAACTACTTTTCTGATAGCTATAACAAACATCCCTGCTTGCTCACGCCATTTAGTCCATCAGTAACAGATGGAACTCATTCATCTTTTCCAGCTGGGATAAAGCACAAACATTCTCTGGTCTATGTCTAAAAAAAGCACTGCATGTAACCCCCCACCAAACACACAAACACTGACACACACTCTAGTATGTACCTTTGCCCATAGCCCGTCTGTTTCTCATGTCACTGGAAAGCATTTGTGAGAGGCGGAATGAAAAACGAGAGGCAGAACTAATGTGCTTCTGTATTTTCAGACTGGATCGTGAGCTCGCGAGGAATTAGCCATCATGTCCGTAATAGGAAAACCCTACGAGAAAAAAAACAAGCAAACTCGTGTCACAGCGTCCCGCCAATCTCTGTTTGGTTTGTGCCTGGGGTCTGTGAACTTGACGTGTCACCATAACAAAGACTCAACGGAACCTAATTACAGCCACTTAATCCATATCTTTGTTTTTGGTGTAAATATAATTTAGCATTGTATGTATGGCTAATATTTCTTTGGGGGCTGATAAGAGCCATATCAATATTTTCTGAAACCTCCTTTGGAAAGTCACCTGCCCCTAAAAGGAAATCATGTTAAGACCACACACACTAAAAAAGAAAATATAAAATCTAATAAAAAAAAACATCTTTAATAGTTATTTGCAGGACATTAAAAGGCAACCCTTGACAAAGCGCATCAAATATGTATGTTAACATCAACATATATTTGATCAAATTTAGATAAAACAAAGATATAAACAAAAGCTAAAAAAATAGAACTCTTCATTAAAAATCATAGATTTTGGGTCACAGGATTTGAACCCATAGAATTTGCACTTTATTGGATTTGCACAAGATAGTTTACACATAACACATATGCATACACAGTGATATAGCTATATTTCATGACTGGTCTCTAGATTTATTCCCCTTTTCCTTTTAAATGCTAATTGTGCTGATGCTGTGATGGCCACGCGGTTCCACCTGAACGAAACAGAAATGGTTTTGATGGTAATTGAAATGCTTTGAGGAAGTAACGTAACCATCTAATCTACATTTTTTTAAAGAAGAGGAGCTATATGGGAATCATAAAGTGTGTGGGTGTGTGCCATGGTACTCACCAGTACAGTAAGTGTTGATAGTGTGGGGTATTGGAAAAAGGCTATAATGTGCTGTGATAGGGGGATGAGTTTTTATTTGTTAATATGGATATGTATCACTTGGATTGGGTAAGTAATTGGTTTACATAATGGTTTGTGGGGTATTTATCGGGGTATCCCTCGTTGGGCACCTAGGCATTGTGAGTATTTTCTTTCTGTATTATCCAAAGGCCTTCTGACAGGTTCAAAATGCTTTTACGTATGTTTTTTGTTAATAATAATGCATCATAGTACAACTTAAGATCTCAACTGTCAGGGATAATTGAGTCAGATCGCATAAAAAAGCAACCTGGGTGTGTTGAACCTACTTTTTAGTACAGACACATGGTTATCACATGGTTTGGCAGTGAGGGTCTACAGACAATGTGAAAACAATTTAGTCTAATCGACTACATCCAAAAGATTGCCTCTTTTTTTACGCCTTCATTCTCTTGTTGAGGAGCCAAGCTGTTGTCAGGTTTGCCGTTCAGCAGGTGTTATAAAACGGACCATTTCAAAGATTTGAACTTCTCCACGCGTCGTTTTTCTTTCCCATTTGGCCAGCGTGACTTGTGTTGTACGCAAGTTTGGGAATAAATGTACCACGGAGGATTTTATCAGAGGGCCCAGATAAGTTTGATACATACTTGAGAGTCAAAAACGCGACAGCTATGTTAAGTAGAACGAAAACATAGCAACACAGCGGAGCAACAAAGATTAAGATGAATTATATGGGCTTATCGTGCACTTGAAGCAAGAAAACATAAATATATGGGGGCTTTTGTTCTGTCGACTACTTTGAGAGAGCACTTCATGGACAGCGGCATATTAGAGGACATAAAGCAGCTGTGCGCACATGCACTTATGAGCCCGTCTCCTCCTTCTGTTATCAGTAGGAGGCGACAGGAAGTTGAGGTCGTGTCTGGAATGAACTGGAGACCTTCTAGTCTGAAAGGGAGCAAATGCAGACAAAGGACAGGATTGTTTGTGAGAAACTTTGGGACGTATATGAATCCCAGTTGCGAAAATGAGAATGAGGTGAATAAGGAAAGCACTAAGCAGATGATGGGTAGAAAATAGGGAGAATAAAAGAGATAGCCAACACTAAAAGGAGGCAAAGTCCAACAGAAACATGTTCAAATGGAAACCTATCAGATCATTTTTCAAATTAAAACAAGTGAATATGTCGATTAGTTGTAAATAACTGTTGGGATTACGCAATTACATCCTTATCATTTGGCTTCCTATCCCTTTACCCTTGTATTTCCAATCTGTGTCAATTTTCTGGAAGAAGTGGCTTTGTGCTGGTCCATGGTGGCTGATTCTGCTAAAATCAAGTTTCCTATAACTCTATACCTAGAGTTCTATAGAACAAGAAAATCCAAGAATTACCAATAGACAAAGCATGTATAGATAATAAGCTGGAATGGTAAAACTATGGTGAAAAGAAAAACAACAAACTGGCAATTCGAACATATAGGAGCCAAAGAGCTATAAATACTGAGAGGTTTTCTGAGTAGTGTCAATAGACACTATACACTTTAGAGGTAAATGGGTGTTGACTTGTACCTAATTATGAGACTTAGACAACTGTCAACAACTTAAGCCACTGAAAGCATCAAGGGGCTTAGTTTATATCATGTAATGAAAGAAACTA